TCTTCTTCTTGTTCTTCTTGTTCTTCTTCTTTTTCTTCTTCTTCTTCTTCTTCTTCTTTTTCTTCTTCTTCTCTTCTTCTTCTTCTTCTTCTTCTTCTTCTTCTTCGTCTTCATCTTCTTCTTCTTTTTCTTCTTCTTTTTCGCGTTCAATGGATGTAAACTCCGTTAAAACATTCTAGTTGGTCTTATTCCAGAATTTGGGTTTTAACAGATCTGGCTTATCTCTGTGCACACGGCTCCTGGCCCCTCGGGAAGATTCACTCCGAGTTTGAAGGAAACAACTCTGATTTTTTTGATTTTTTTTTACGTATCCAGAAACCATGAGTTGTAAACCCTTTGGCTCTGTACTATGGATATCGCAACCCTTCGGCCTTGATTCCATTATAGGTACCGATAATCTGGGAGAAATGTGGCTTTTCTGCCTACCCCCGGAAGTGAACCCGGACCACAAGGAGTTCGTCATCCGGCCGCCGCGAACGTCAGGTTTAACCAACTTCGCTAGAGAGCCGGGCGAAACAACTCTGATAGGTCGCCTTTGTAACATACTTGTTTGGTCAGGCAGGCTGGGGTGGGTGGGGGGGGTGGGGGGGGGGGGGTATTTTTATTCTTTCTAAAAAGAGAGCCTAGAACCCACACAAGGGTTGCTACGGTCAACTAGATCTTCACCTATTAGTACGTTCGAACATATGGTCTATATAATAATATACCCTTTTCAGGTCATTGTTGACACACCATGACTCGTAATCTCCGTTACTGATGACCTGTTGTTTTTCTGCCCATGGTGTTGGCGCCTTTCCGTATTTCTGAAGATAGTATTACACTGTGCTAGGGGGGAGCATGGGACACAGCCCATGGCGATGGCGAGTCTGATTACCAAGGCCCACCTGTATGTGTTTTTTTTTTTTTAGTATCCAGAAGCCATGAGCTGTTAACCCTTTGGCTCGGTACTATGAATATCGCAACCCTTCGGCCTTGATTCCATGATAAATACCGGAAATCTGGGAGAAATGTGGCTTTTCTGCCTACCCCCGGGCGTGAACCCGGATCACAAGGAGTACGTCACCCGGTCACCGCGCCATCCGGTTTAGCCAACTATGCTAGCGAGCCAGGTACCCACCTATATTAAGAAAAGTCTTCCACATTTAGAGCCTGTGATTTCAGGACCGTGTTGCCATTACGTGTATTTAGTCCGTTTTTCTCAGACATCCAGCCCTCGCCCTTGTTGCAGTCGCTTTTTATTTCAATATTCTATCGTTTCCTCCAGTTAGACTTGTAACTGATCCCAAGAGTGATTTCTCTTACTGCAAATCCCACACCATACTTCCGGATTTCTTGTAAACCTTTCTAGAAAAAATGCATAATTCTACCCAGGCTATCTCACGTAATTTCAGACTTCTTAATTTCCCCTCCCAATATCCTTTACCAGGTTTTCTTATGTGCCCAAGTCTGCTGTCTTCATCTGCTGTCCATCGCTACAAGGCAGGATGCATTCTTGTCTCCGCGATCACCAACTTCAACCTTTGAAAACGTTTGCCATTGACAAACATTTATTTTCCTTCTCTGGTTATTCAAATTTTAATTGATAGTCATATTATGTTTATTTTTTTATGAGCGTATCTTGCTTTCAAGATAACATACAGCTGCTGTGCCAAAGATGAGTCTTTAGAAGGGTCAGATGTAAGACAGGCCTGTGAGCCCGATTTTAACACTGTAAATATTTTTTTTTAAAATAGAACATATTGTCCTTTATCTATACTTAAGACAATTCAGCTCTCCGTGGGGTCAGTCGCATTCACTTCCCGGGAATCTTTCTAGTAGCTATTATGTTATCTGAACTTCAAAGCTAAAGATCGATTATAAAATAAAAAAAAGCGCTTTGACACCGATTCGAACCCAAAATCTTGAGATGGTTAGGCAAATATCTGGCCACTGAAAAACGGCCATTCAGTTTTGTAGAATGTGTGTCGACTCAGTCAAGCGCTGCTTCCCCAGTAAAAGTTACTTACCACGAATCTCCAACCCTCTCTATCTCTTGTCTTCGTTGTATATTCTCTCCGACTGGCTGTTCATCTATATCTTGATGTTTTCCTCCCACATGTACTGTTCAGTTTATTATTATTATTCACTTAAACAAGGGGAAAACATCGCCATCGTGGTGTAGCCACGCTGGCCTGTGGATTCGAAGGTCGTGGGTTCACATCCGAACGATGCGGGTTTGTTCCCCTTTACAAATGATCTTGGCTCCCAGTGCCACCCAGCCTTAAATAGGTACTAGGTAAGGTCCTGTGACGTAAAGGCGACAGGCGTCATATTGACTTGATCACCCACCGAGACCGATGGTTCTATAAAATATAAGTCTAACCCTATATGCCCATCACGCCTTAAGGTGTGGGAAATGGTCCTTTACTTTTACTTAAAACAAGACTTAGGCCCACTGAAAAATTTACCTAGAATGAAGGGAAAGATTGTGGCACAAAAATAGCAACAATAACAAGGATCTTTTTAATCTACGTCTTCAACCATGAGGATGGAGGTTGAGGCAATCACTCTAGCTCTTAGGCGGATAGCAAAAAAATAGAATTACCAGAGAAATTATTGTGTCTGATTCTCAGTTGCTATTGCGGAAGGTTTGCAATAGACAAATGTGGCATGATGAAAACCATACATCCGTACGTCAATACTACAGGGAATCATGGGATATACTGTCCGGGATATGCAGGAGTGTGAGGCAATGAAAGAGCAGATTTTCTGGCTCTAAACCCGATAACCATAAGGAAACTTGTGCTGGACAAGGCAGACATTTTGAAGACCAATTCTGAACAAATGTTGATAGAGGCCGAGAGGTGGGATGAAATAACGTTGTGTAAGAAGGTTTGAACGAGTAATCAGGAGTGGATCCAGCAAAGACCGACGTATGAGAGTAAGAGAACGACGTGTGTGTAATCCGTGTCCTTCTGGACCACTCAGTATCCACACCTCAAGACATTCGCTTCGGGAGACAGAGCATCTAGGGGTATGCCCGGTGTGCTATGTCGATTCTTAAATCAGTAAGCCTACCGAGGCCCTATTATAGAATGTGTAAGGGGGGCTAACTCCCTTACCCCTAAATATTTCAATAACTAGAATCCCCTGTGACCACCCAAGCATGACGAAGATGAATGGTGAGATTGAGAATTTTGGAGCCTAAAAGTCGCAGTTAAAAATTCCGAGGGCATGCATCCTCCCTATAGCAACATACGGGTGTGAGTCGTGGACTATCTCGAAGTCTTTAAGGAAAAAAAATATCCACTTTTGAGCTGAAATGAGAGTCAGAATATCACGAATCACGAAGACAAGACATACTGATATTCGAAAAGATCTGAATATCAAGGAAGATTTAGTAGTGAACAGCATTTTGTCTCGTAAAACAGAAATGTTTTTGCAATATAAAAAACGGGTGGATTGCAAAGAGTATTAGGAGAAGGTATGCAGGAAAGAGAGGCAGTGGTGAAATTTTTATAGCTTCACAGTAGCTCATTAATTTCACCTACCTCGTGTGTCCCGCCCGCACAGAACTGCTACTATCAGTTTGTACCTGTCCCACTCGTCAATATTGTACATTATTACGTTTTTTTTTAACCAGCTAAGTGATTTTGTGTATTTCTGTGGTATTGTTTGGTTTGTGTGTGTGCTGATGAAGGCTCCATAGCCGCAACGTTCAAGTTTTGTTTGTGTTTGTTATATTATAAAGCTTGCTAATGAACTTTTTGGTCGGTTTTATATCTTTTCTTTAAAGATGGACACGGGATACACGTTAAACTTTAGGTGCACGAGGGGGGAGAGCTGGCGAGAGACCGAGTTTCTTTCAGGCAGACCGTGATGAGAGCGACGTTCTGCAAAGGACCTGAATAACCGCAGCTATAATGATTCAGTGTTTTAATACAATTTGTTTTTCTAACGAACATGTGTATATTCGTCATCCTCCTGTGGGATGCACTTTTTTTGTTATTCTGAAGCCCCGCCCTGGCTCTTGCCAGGGACCGCAATATAGCCCGGCCATAAATACGGCCTAATGGCTGAACGCGGTTTCCGGGACCTCTCCATGGGTGATTCTCATCTGGATGTAGGCGCTTTGTGTCATCGGGTGTTTATATCTTGTGAGATATCCCAGTTGGGTAAAATGTACTACTTCTGCTAACGAACGAACGGGCCAGCTGGCAAGCGATGCGTCAGCGCTCCTGGCCAGAAGCATTGACAGACCAGATACCAAAAACGCTGTATGGACTAGATTAGTGGACAATGACGAATCTCTGACACTAACACTTTTGCGTGACATGGGAGTAAAGCATTTTAAAGCCTTCGAGGCCGAGACAGAATACATTATTACCAAACCCTCATCGGAACAATCAGTAGAGATACCTTGGAGTTGCCGCTGCATTGAAGGACTGAGCACTCATGGGAATGCCTAGTGTGCAGTGACGTATATTGTAATATTTTATGATAACATAAAATAACTTTGTGTGTTTTTTGGGTTCACAGATCATACTATCATGTCTGGAAGACTCGAACAACATTTGGCGGGATTTCATTCCTCGGGTCTGCTACATAAACTTGCTCGTTTGTGCAGCCGCAGCCGGCAACGAAAGTTTATATGGCTTGGATGTTTTTCTGTGGCGGTTATAGTCGTCATTTACCTTCCTTTAATCTTCCACACTCCAGTAGAGCCAGCTACCAAAGCTCATCAGACACGAACCCAAATAGACAAGGAACTTCACCTATCACGCATCGCTCTCACAAACTTGAGCTTACTAAGTCAATTTGCCATGGATAAAACATTTACATCTTCACCATTTTCTGAAATGTTCAAGGAAGCAAATTTAGAAGAAGATAGTTTTTTAAACTCGTTTTGTAAAGCAAGAACGGGAAAAGACCTCGAATATGAAACTGTTACTCTTATTTTGTCATTGCGTAATATTTTAACTGAAAATGAAGCCATTTATTACATACGGCAACATTTGCAAATGATTCCTTTTTCACTAACGGATGACGTTATTATTACAACCAATACCAATTTGTCAAGGACTTTTACAGAAACAGTTGAGGAGTTTGTAGATTTGTGTCCAGTTTGTAGATTGCTCTTCCTGCCAGGAACTATCTACAAACAGTGGAATGAAGCTGCAAAGTTTGCACGTTCTAAATATTTAGTATTTCTTGATGCTAGGATTTCGTTTTCCAACAATTCTCTCCAGGCGATGATCAGATGTCTACAAGGGGGAGATAACAACACAGTTGTGTCGCCACAGTTGCGTTTGAGGTATGCCGATGGAAGGGGACATAATGTAGGGTTGTCTATAAACGAAATCTCCTGGGATCTGGGGGTCAGTCGTGGGGCGGTCAGCTATCAGCTCCTTCAGACTGCTCACAAGTTTGGGGACGGTTGTGTGAACCAAACTGCGATTTTCAAGGAAGTTTTTGGGATCAGGAAGCGGTTTTTTGCTGATCTTGGTGGGTTCGACATCCTGACTGATGCATCTGGAGGTGAACACGTCACGTTTTCGTTAAAAGTTTTAAGTTGTCATGGAAACATCGTGACTTCTTTATGCTCCACAGCCTATTTAACCATCGCTAACAACGCTGGACGATTAGACAATAGAAAATCACCTAAGTCTTCTGTTCTTGAAGATTACCACAACCCGACTTTCGACACCAACCACACAAGCATTTTAGCGTATTACATCGCAGGCAGCAAGCCTTGGCTGGACACCTTCTCGACAAAATACTACACCTGCGCGCTGAGTAGGCGAATTCCCGCCAACATCCAAACAACACTGTTCAGGAAACCTAGCAGATTTACTCAAACATCAATATCAAACCGAATGACGTTTGATTTGAATCGGTATTTGAATTCCCGCTACGGTTATTACGGATACAACTTTAAACAGAGCCTGATGAAATCAAAATGCCAGGTTGGCCATTTCCGCTACATAATTACTCAACGACAGCGTCAGATGCGGCCTCCAACCAAATTCGCAACTTTTTATGGGTACATTAGAACTTTAGACGGCATGTATGCCTTTGGACGACCTGTTGAAATCCCGGGTTCCGATACAGAACTACCAGAACTAGGCGTACATTTTCAGAAACAAATCGCTCTCATTCCAGAACAGGGTACATTTATTCTCACGCGGAACACTTCTTTATGGATCGGTCCATTTTCATTCACAAACGGTGCGTTTATATACAATAATATTTGGTGTCTTACTGTAAGCACCAGTTTCTCCCTGACGCTACAAAAATGCCTCAAAGGGGATGCCAATCAGTTATTTACATTTTCTAATAATATCATTACCCTTTTGGGATTGCCCGCAAACTGTGTAGGGGCCAGAAGATCCTCAAATGTTTCTAGTGAAATTGTATTGTCCTCGTGTTCGGATCAAAACAGGTTAAGACATTTTAAACTTGATATTGAATTTTTTGAAAAATGTATAAAGTGAAATATTTTGCAAAGCCAATAAAAGGTATTGTTTCCAACATTATTTATTTTAAATGTTGAACATAACATTTGACTAATTTAATAAAATGTATGGGCAACCAGTGGTAGTACAAAGTTATAGTTAGTTGGTTAGTCTTTCCTCTTGTGTCGAGTGCGGCACATAGGGCAGAGGTCATGACTCTCCATGCATGGCGGTTCGTTGCAATCTGTTGTAGGTCTTGGATGTTTGAGTGGCCCATGAGTGAGCCTTCCCTGATGATAGTTCTTCGTAGGGTTTCCCTTGGTCTTCCACGAGATCTTTTCCCCTGTGGTGTCCAAATGAGGGCTTAGTAAGGAAGTCTTGATTTATCCTTTCTAAGGGCGTGGCTGACATAGTTCCAGCGGCGTTTTCGTATAAAATTAGACACATACTCTTGCCTGGATTTTTGCCTTATTTGTGTATTGGTTCGGAAATCTGACCATCTGAAATTTAGTATTCTTCTAAGGCATTTATTTTCAAAACTGTCTAATTTTGTGTCTAGAGTTTTCGTTGATTACAAAGTTATAAGATGAAGATAAATTGGACACCTCTTGAAATGTTATGTTATCACAGTCTACGTCTTTGCACATCGGGCATTCACTGGCATGCTCAGTCCTCCGTTGCAGCAGCCACTTCAATTTACCTCTACTAGTTTATCCCATGAGGAGCTGGTTATAGTATCTCCTGTCTTTACCTCATTTACGGCATAGAAGTGCTTCACCAAGTTTAACTCCTCGGTCACGCAATCGTGTTAGCGTAAGCGGTTCAATATTATCCCAACTTAGTCCGTACAGCAAAGATGATATCAGCTCTGTCTACGTTTCTTACCGTTTATATTGGAACATTACTTGCAAGTTGGTCTTTCATTGCCAAGTTCTCCGACGTGAATAGACGTGTAGATCCAGGCGATGGAGGTTAACTGCGACTTCTGAATGCTTTCTACCCATTCAGAGCGTAGACTACCTGTAGCGATTTTCTGAAGCATGTTCATGGAGTCTGGACAACTACCGCATGTGTGGCCACTTGTTCTGCTCACCATGCAACTGCTCTGGAAGCAGCAGTTATCTCCCCTGGCCATCCTTACATCCTGAAAAGAAAAGAAAAGTCGGGAGTTGTCAACCAGCGTCATTGCACAAACCATAAGTGCTCTGCCAATAGTACGGACATCTGATACAAAACTGTCCGTCTATGTCGCTGTCCGCACGCAACTCCGTAGCTACAGCGACGTTCCTCCATTTACCTCAGAGCGTTAACTCTGGACCCATTTTCTAGAAGCTGGGTGAACCCCGGGAGCCGCCAAGTTTCGAACACCGGCCGTGGGCTGCAGCGAGTCACAGCTGTATTTGAAAGCAAGTCTCCTATTGACACCGCTAACGCGGTCCCCGCATCCTGAGACGAAACAAGCAAAGAATCTAACCAAACAGGCACTAAAATGAGAAATAAAGTAATTGAGGAATTAAAGACATCATAAAGAAACCGAAAGCTAAGTGGATAACAGAACGAACGAACCAACGAACGAACCAATGAACGAATCAACGAACGAACCAACGAACGAACTTTATTTTCAAAAAAGGGTCACAAATTGGGCACATTCGTCCCTTCCAAAAACCCATATTTTGCACAGCAGTTGTATTTTACCAATAAACCATGTTATAGTGATATGCATATTATGAAAATCACGAAAGAATACAAAAGCATGGTTTGTGAAATACATGCAAAAACCTGCGCACGCATACACACACCCACATAAACACACCCACATACACACGTCCACGTACACACAGATACTCAAACACACAGACACATATAAACAAACACAGACGCAAACGCAGACACACACAGAACTTTTACAGTTACCCATACACACACTCATACATATTCAGAATATAATACGATAAAAACACGCCTACACAAACATACATATTAAAAGTAAATGACATATTCCTTTATTTTTTCTTTACGTTAAAATGATGGTTGATACTTTTTACAGTGGATTTGTAAATTCGTCTGATTTGTTTGTACTGTATTTTTTTCAGCATTACCGTTTTTCAATATTTTATTCTTTTGTCTTTATCACTGTCTTCTCATTGTCTTCTTCTTCTTCTTCACTTCCTCTTTTACCGCTGTGGGTGTCGAGGGAGATATAAGGTTCTGTTTCTAGCTTTTCTGGCTGCCTCGACCATAGGCACATCGTGCTGTTGTAGAGTTTCTCTGATGTTATCCTTCCATCTTGTTCTGGGTCTACCCCGTGCTCTACGTCCTTCTTCTCTTTCCATGTATGCTTCTCATTGTCAACTTTTCTTATTTGTAATTACAACATTGTCTTTTCATGCAATATACTGATGAAGATTTATTAGCTGCAACGTTTGCTTGCAGTTTGTGATAACGTGAAGCGGGTTGGTTTCTTTGGTTTCATATCTTTTCACTGTGGTTTCCAGACAGGCTGTGATATCTACGCCTTTCTGTCAAACAGATGCATAATTGTTGATAGTCGCATTTTACTGCATGCGATAGTCAATGTACCCCTCTAAAGTCTGTCTGAGAAAGAACCTGAACGATCAAGTAGCAGGACAGGGTTTCCGAGACTGTTGTACTGGATAGAACTCACGTTCCCAGCAGCGAGACTGTTGTACTGGATAGAACTCATGTTCCCAGCAGCGAGACTGTTGTACTGGATAGAACTCATGTTCCCAGCAGCGAGACTGTTGTACTGGATAGAACTCATGTTCCCAGCAGCGAGACTGTTGTACTGGATAGAACTCATGTTCCCAGCAGCGAGACTGTTGTACTGGATAGAACTCATGTTCCCAGCAGCGAGACTGTTGTACTGGATAGAACTCATGTTCCCAGAAGCGAGACTGTTGTACTGGATAGAACTCATGTTCCCATCAGCGATACTGTTGTACTGGATAGAACTCATGTTCCCAGCAGCGAGGCCATCTTGATGCAGTCACAGGTACGATGGGCCGGTCACGTTGTCCGCTTGTTGCCAGACCAAAATAATCTTTTATGGTGAGTCACAATAGGGTCGATCAATGGCTTTCAACCTTTCTGAGTGAGTGAGTGACTTTCTATCCCACTAGGACATCACACAAGCGATAAACACCCGATGACACAACGTGCCACCATGTGGATGAGGATCACCGTGGAGAGGTCCCAGAAACCGCGTTCAGACATTTGGCCATTTTTATGGCCTGCCTATATTGCGGCCCCTGGCAAAAGCCAGAGTGGGGCTTCAAATAACAAAAAAATTACGTCCTGAAGAGGACGCAAGGACTTGATTAACCCTTTCTAAAGCAGCGACCCTTTTATACAGTTCACTCATGTTTTAACGACCCCCCCCCCCCCCCCCCCCCCCCCCCCCCCCCCCCCCGGTTCCCCCAAACAATTATTTTCCTTCATAACTTCAGTGAATATGTGTTTTCCGATAGTCTGGGGCGACTCCTGTGAAAGGGTCGTTGCACAAAGAAAACGGAGATGACTACAGGGAAAGAAAAGACCGGGAAGAAGACAAAGGAAGACTGGAAGGCGAAAGACGAGAAAGAAGAAGAGCTACAAAAGTGTCTATGCTTACAAGTAATCCAGATTTCTAAAACTGATGTACAAAAAAAAAAAAAAAAAAAACTCAAGCTTTGGAACAAGACCCAAAGTACAGAAGGGGACGAACAATCAGAGCTTTCCACTGGAGTTTACAGCTAGTAAACGCTAAAAATGATAAGTATTTACTAGCCAAACGAGAATATCTAATTCAGATCCTTTCATAAGTTCGAAAAGGGTAGGGGAAAAAAACTGTTGCTGTTGGCTTGGCATCCAAAAAGCGTCTCATTGAGTCACTGTTGTGTAAATGATCAGAAAAAGGTAGTCAAATTTTAAAAAGGTGCTGATAAACAAAACATTTAAACCATAAAACTACACTTAACAATGAAGGCTCCACCATAAAATAATGACTGTCTCTTTCTGATGTTCGTGTGATAAGTTATCTTTGAGCCCTCGCCTTTTTCAAAAAACCTTAATTGCATTTTTTTTTTCTTCCATGGAATTATAAGGATTCCATTTTTATTTCTAATAAATTCATAAGGCAGCCTTCAGAAATTCTAACACCAATAGTCCTACAATAGAAATGTAGCTCATTATCTACGGAATGAGCAGCTACAACAGATCAGTAGTTGCTCCCGCAATTAATCACAAAGGGCACCATAAGTTCTCTGGCAACAGGTCACTCGAAATTTCCTAAATCAATTCCCAACACAACCCAGGTTGGTTACAGTCGAAAAACAAATCCATTCCAAATGAAATTCGCAGCTCAATGTCATGCCACCCACTAAACTCAGTAGCTGGACGTCAAAATTATATACTTTCAATCCATATACGAAGGAAAATGCAGCAGCCGACTATTGCCAAAAGCAAACTCTTGCCATGTCTAAAAACAGCATACTCACCTATCCTCCATATTGACGGGTTTCAATGCGCAGGGAAAATGACGGGCCAATATTTAATGAAGATGCACTGACACTTTTCTTTGGCTGCTGGGACAGGAGACTGAGCACTCGTGAGTATGTCCCTAGTGCAGTAATGTCAGGTCTTGAATCACTCATTCGTTCCTGTGAGTTTTCTGTGTGCGAGAATGAAACCACTACGAACGTGTGTTGGATTGAGGCAAAAGCTAACGAAGCTGCAGCTCAAGATCCCACAATCTGCGGGGAAATCACCACTTTCTTATTTGTTATTTATAAATGCAAATTTCACCTAGCATTCGAAAATCACGATTGCTTGAAACAAGCTAATGAAAGTAGATCTCTATATGCAACAATGAGAAAGAGACAAACACTGTTCTTTGGCCACATAATGAGAAGAGAGACAATGGAGAACATCGTGACAACTGGAATGATTAGCGGAAAAAGGGTAGATGCAGACCAAGAGAAATGATACTGGATGTGCTGAAACGATGGCATGGAGAGATATCATCAAGAGAGATGTTCCAG